CCAGATGGCTGCCACAGTCCCTTCCAACCTAAACTGTTGGATGATTCTATAATCATTCCTTGGGTTTTGGTAATGAACAAGAGATATGCTCAGCTTTCAGCTTGATGTTTGTCAGTAGGCAATTTTGACTTTAAGGAAAAAAAAAAAAGATAAAACAAAACCAAGAACAAACCAAAACACCAAATTTCAGTTCTGGATGATTTAGAAAACTCAGTTGTATTTTCTAGACCAAATGAAACACAACTGTGTAAAAGGATGGAGATTCTCCTAATATTTAAAATGACAGATTTAATTTGTGACTAAACAGGCTTTGTTTTACTTAAGATGCCTTCATGAAAATCTGCCTGTTTACATAACATTTTAGTTAAAAAAAAAAAAAACAAAAAACAAAAAAACCAACAAAAACTTGCCAAGTTGACATATAGCTAGAAATTAAATTCTCCAAAAATAGTATCAAGATTTCAAAAATTGTTTTGAAGAAAATAAATACACTAACTAGTCTACCTTACACCCTCTTTTAATTAAAACTGGCCATTATTTGTGCAAAATCCAGTACAAACAACAAAAAACGTCAGAGACTAAACAAATTTTGCATTTGTAATGTTGCCATTGAGATCATCATACCTAGGCAACTGACATTTATAAACCAACAAATGTTTCACTGTGTAGGTGAAACTAGCTACAAATGGTTTCTAACCAATTTGAAGCAGCAACGTAAATTTCACTCAGAAATACTGAATATTGCAATTTATCTAGTGCTCAAAGCTTACAGTCTCAGCAATTCATTTTGGTAGCTCAGATTTAGCTTTCTTGCTGTGGTATTGAGTGTACCAGGCTGGGCATCACTAAACTAGGTGTTGTGCAAGAAAAAAAAAGAATTACAGATCCCATAAGAAGAGCCAAATCGTACCAGGCAATTACAGGGCAAAGCATAAAATAAATAATCAAAAAGCAAGAGCTAGCTCACACAGTCTGAAGCTAATCCTTTGGTCAGGAAACCAATTGTGAGACTCCTGTAATAATCTGTCACATGTTGAAAAAGTATCAGAGCATTATCATAAGAGGAAAATCTCTGAAGCTCATCGCAATAGCTTTATAGCTATTTAAACCTCTGTTAAGAGATATGTACTTTTAGAAAGTTTACAAACAAGTATTCAGGCAATTCAAGTATCACATAAGCAAACAGGAGTGCTTAGTAAGATGTTTCCTTAATTAATGTGTTTATCTAAGAACTGTACTGATATAATTAATAACAGAAGCAGAAACCCACAATAGCTGCTGTCTACATGTAAATAAAGTTTTGTTTTGAGACAAAAGCAGAATACATTGCTCGATTCTGCAGCTGTTATACTAAGCAGCACCAACCTTGGGTTTGGGTTCCACATTCTCTTTGTGTTTTTGCTGCATTTGGGGGGGTTTGTTTTGCTTTTTCATTTTTTTTAAATTAAAGGACTGACTTGTTTTACGGCATACTCATATTTCTCAAAACAGCACAGCACAGCATCCATTTTGAAACAGCTTCAGGCTGAATTAAAGGACCTTTTAAAAAAGGGCAAAACAAAACCGGGGAAACACACACTACACCACAGCTACATTTCATTAAGCACAAGAGCAAGAATTTCTGTCTGGTGGGAAATTCTATTTTAAAACGAAACAGAACTAAAATCTTCAAAGCTAGGTGCAATGCTAGTTGGCAGCACAGACTCAGGCAATCACATGGCTTTTTCTGCCACTCCTTTCTCTGTGAGCAAAACCAACATGGACAACACTTATTTTGCCCTTCACTACCGCTGCAAGAAACAGTATAAGAAAAGGTAAATTTCAATCCCTGGATATCACCACAGAGTTATTCACAGCTCAGAACTGTTAGCTGCCATCATTTCATTTATCCATCCAAAATTAGAGATGGAGGTTAAGATGACTTAGTTTTTAAACACTGACATTTTTACCCAACCATGTCACCTTTTTTTAAATGCCATCTAGTAAAGAATTTCAAAGGGCTCTGCTTCTTTAATAAGGCATTAAAATACAGTCATACGACAAAAAAGCAACTCTACAAAGTCTCTTAAACCCCTGGACTTACATTATCAGCTTTTATGTGCCTGTCAACACTCAACAGTAAGAAGCAATGGTTTGCTCTTTGCCTTGAATTTAAAAGCCAGCTAAACTTCCTCCCACTTTCCATTGCAAACTGTCAAAGCTTTGACACTTCAGCAGCAGATAAATCTATGACACGATGCAATGGCCAGGTGTAGTCTCAGTCAGATACTGGCCACTAATTTACTAGTGGCCATTTCATTCACCTCGAAAAGCAATAAACTAGAAATACCTCCACCTCCCCCCACTCACACACACACTGCTTGTGGATCAGTCCTCATAAAGAGATGCTAGCTCTGTGAAAGAACCAGGTGCAATTAACTTGTAGCTTCAAAGAAATGAAACATTTTAAATTGTAGAGATGTTAACATATGGCTAAAATGCAAAAGCATTTCCAACCCAGAAGCTAAAATAAGAGTGCAGCCTTTTTCAAGAAAAGTGCAAAGTAGTAAATACTGGAACTTCTTTACCCAGAACACTTCTCTAAATATCCACAGCCTGAATGTGCAATTCAGTGTAAAAGCTCATTGACTCAAAGCCAATTATTCATTTGTTTCACAAAGGTGTCAAGCTAAATGCACCCGTAGAAGAATAAGATTTGGATGATTTGCTTAGCAGAAAATGTGAAGTTTACAGCCGGGAAGCCCTGTATTCCACGCTGTATAACCTAAAATATTTATACTGTTATCTCAGTATACAGAAAAACAATGACTGCACAGATAAGCGATGCTGTTTCTTTACAACAATAAAATGAGATACAGACTTATAATGGGATCCTTGAGATACTACACTTACCAGCAGTATAGTGAAAAATGATCCTTCCCTTTTCTTCTGTTCCTTTCACGCTGTAATTCCACAGTATACAAAACCCCTATTTACGTCTCCTAACCTTGATAAGGACTTGATCCCACTCTCATTCAAGTCAATGGAAAAAGATCTCATAATTAACCTCAAAGATGCATGACTGAAGCATTGAGTGGCAAAGTTACAGGACAGCATTGTAATAATTTATTTGTGAAAATATTAGGGTTTTTTTTTTCATAAAAGGGGGAAAAAAAAGCTTTTTTTCTTATGATAGAAGACAGAAATTAGCTTTACCTAAAGGTTAATCGTCTGCTGAGAATGCACAACACTGAGCCAGCTCTCACATCCTCCCCACTCCAGGCGTTTGCTGGAGTGGTAGCCACAAGGTACTATACAAAAGTTACAAATGCATTTATGCTTTCAAAGGGGAAGAGGAAGGAATTTAAAAAGGTTCTGCCAGTGCTGGCATGTCTCCTCTTTCAAGTATCTTAAATACAGCCTGGCATAGGAGTTTCTCTCATCACCAGAAGGACTTCAACAGACTTCAAATGCCAAACAAATCCCTTGACTCACTGTGTCAAACTCCAAGGGAAGCATTTTCCAACAGGAAAAATAGGAACAAGAATGCCAAGAGTTAAAAAGTTAAGTTGGACTGATTCAGCATTCAGATCAAACGACTACAGTTCTTCCTAGATTATTAATAAGCACTCCAAGCAACTGGGGGGCTCTGACGCAGACAAGAACCTGCACATCACAGGCATTCCAGGAACCTTGGTTTGTCTGCGCTGGAACAAAACCTCTGCAAAATATGCGCACCCTCCTGATTTAAAAGCATGCCGTCTCTCGATGCCTCTCTGTCCGTGCACAGGACCGCTAGGCAAAAAATACTTCCTTCAACAAGGTTATGATCAGCAGAACTTTTTCCTGAAATTCTTTCAAATCTTTAGTAATTTTTTTAAAAATATGTTCTATTCTAACAAGTAATATTGCACAAAAAAATGCACATCTTTCAGAGACTCAACAGACAACCAAAATAATGAAAAAATCAAAATAGACACAAGAAGAGACAGCAAGTCTTCTCACCAGCTGCAACTTCAAATACAGATTTTTGGAGATGATAGAAGGAATAAAAAGATGCTTCAAGCAATGGTTACAGGAGATCTTGTCAGTTCAAATGGAAAGGGAAGGGCTTTTTTAGCTGAGCGGAAAACCTGTGTGGGGAATACTAGCAAAAGACAAAGAACACATGAACTATATATTCTGGAAAGACAGAGTCACTGTCATCCAACTTGCCTTTTATTTAAAACTGTTTAACAACCAATTAATAAAACTTGAGACAAACGGATAACCATGTTCAAACACAGCAAATTAGAAATAGCAATTTTACCCAGTGTAGGTACTTAAGGCAAAAAAATCCCCCATAGTTTTTGAAGTGCAGCTCAATGTTTGAAGTTATTCAAAACTGCTAATTTCTTAATCCTTCTTCCGGACAGAATGGTCTTTGTCATTAGGCAGGTGGCAGATAGTCCTGCAGATATCAAAAGCTGTCTCCATGGTATCCACTAGAAATAAACAGTCCCCAAAATCATGCTCTAAACTGGCCTGAGTATTTCTCATGTTGTCTACGCAAACACCACACCTCCAATGCACACCTGAATTTTCTGTAGGTGTAATAATTGATTTATTGCTATAAAATCTCACAGAAGAAAGTTTTAAGCCTTAAAATGAAGCCAGCTTGAAATACAGCCAATTTAAACAAAAAATAATTCAGGGTAATTTCAGACTCAACATTCACCCAAGTCTTCTGGCAACTTTCTTGAGGTTTCCTATAGCCACCTTTCACTGCTGTTCTGAAGACCTGCACAAGCATGTTGAGGAAAAGAAGTGACCAGTACTCCAGAGAAAACCATGATGATGACCATGACCTTAACTTCAGATTGTACACACGTAAATGATTAAAAAAATTCATCCAGAAAGTTGCTTGGCACTAGTGTAGTTCCACTACCAATCACTGTGTTTCCTATGGTAACAGAAGGTGAAACAATTTAGCACAAGCAGCAATTTTTAAATTAAGAGTGTACACTTAAGAACAGTCTTACCAAAAGTAACTTCTCCTTTTCCAGTCTTGTCAAACAGCTGAAAGGCTACTACGAACAACGCATCTGGAGCACACAGGACTGATTCAAACGCCACAAACTCTTGAAAGGATATCAACCTAAGGGATGAAGCAAAAAGCAAGAGCTATGAAACCCCTTGCTTGCAGAAAACTGAAATACAATGTAACATGGACTATACAAAAGAAATAAGATCACAACCAAAATGTGTACAAAATGTTGTTAGTAAAGAGCAAAATTTATCCTAAAATGTCCTTTCATCAACACTGTCAGGAGGCCTTTATATTGGTAGATGGAAATGACTTTGTTGAACAAGGAACTAGTCCTCTCAGCAAGTCACAACAGAATATAAAATAAGCAAAGCTCTCAGTGTGGCTACTTACCTCGGCTTTAATGTCTAACTGAACTGCCCTCCGGGGAAGCCTACCTCCCTCCAATGGCAAGACAGAGAGCCAATACAGACATGAGTAACTTCCCTCGAGACTCAGTACTTAAGGCTTTTGGAAAGCAAATCCATTCAAGACCTACATGCCGCCACTCAGTTCAGAAGGAACCGATCAGAACGTGTTATCTGTTTGCTAGCAACTTATTAGTCATACATTGCAGCCCTCCAGTCCTGCGTGTTGAGTCACAAATTTTCAAGCAGTAGTCTGCACAGTCTTCCTCATCCCAAGAGCAGTTTATTCAAATTCATCATTACAGCCAGGTTCCCAATAGGCGAGTGTAGTAGCAGAGCACAGATAAAAGCAGAGGTGCCCTTCCTTAAGTTAGTTAATAAGCAGAAATACATAATTAGACAACTTGGCATTTTTTCCAGCAGTAGATTTGAAACAGCAAAGACTTCAAGCAGTTCTAATTTCTGTGGGTCTCACCCAAGAGTTTAAATGGAGATCAAACTCCCATTCTTAAAGAGGCCAAGACCAACCATTCTCCTGTCTTCCTACTTCTTTAATGTCTAGGTTGCACAGTTTAAAATTGTCTTCAAATGCGTGGCTGCAGGGCCTGCTGGCAGTCTGGGAGGTTTAAGATTGCCATCTCTCAAGGCTGTTTTATGTCAGTGCAGCAAGCGTGCAGCTTTAATGGATTCACATCGCAGTAGCTGGGGAGAAGCCGCTGCTTATTTCTGAGAAGCACAAAATCTAGTGTAACAAATGTCAAGAAACACACACAAAAACTGTATCCTTCGGACCTCTAGTCAAAATGACACTGCAGTCAATTCAATGAAAACTTCCACTTGGTATGCAATAACAGTGAAGAACAAAGTATTTGAATAGGTTGTAAAAGACATTCAGTCCATCAAATTATGATGACTCACGACTATGTAGCAATTCCCAGTCACCCTGTCTTAAGGGAATTAATTTCAAGTCACACTGAAGTGTGCTTTTGCATGTCAGCAGCCAAACATCCAGCAAGTAACAAGCTGATTTCTACGAAGAACATGGAAACACAAGAAGATGAACAAAATAAGACATTAAAAAAAATCATGGCACAGAGAAGGCCAGAAAGCTGTTCTCCTTTACCTCCCTCAACATATATGCACTAAATAAAAGAAAGCATATGTAGAGTCAGAAACAGTCTAACAAATAATTAGCTCCGGGATCTTGACACCATAGGTTATTAAGTAGTGTGAGAAATAAAAGAAAAGAAACCTCCTCAGGTATTCTTAACATGACACTCACAATCGATGATGCCAGTAAACATATAAGCATGCATTGAGCATTATTGGCAAAGAAACCAATGACTTGCTACATATGCACACATTAGCAGGCAGGCTATCGAGGCATTTATTTTAAATTCCTTGGGAGTACTCCCCACTGCTAGACACAGAATACACAGATACTTGGTCTTTCAATGGAAGAAAACTTCCATCTCTCCTAGGCCAAAAGAAGTTCTAAAAAATGCAACATTTCCTTCAATTTTAAAGCAATATATCACAACCTACTTAGTTTTGCATTTATGCATACTTATTGTTACTATGTGACTTACAGGTTACAAAAGCTCATCATTATCCATTATTATTGGTTACATACCTGACAACTTCCACAACAGCAAACACATACAAAGCACTGAATTCTTCTGTCCCAAAGATTATAAAGCCCACACACAGAAAGAACAAAATAGACAGCAGGCGACAAGACTCTAGAATAGGATTGTTTAGAATTAAAAACGTAAAATATCTATCAAGACCATTTTGATAAAGCTGCTTTTTGTGTGAAACAACAACCAGCATATATATGTTCTTGCCAACAGCACCCAACACAAATAGCATTGATCACACCTATCCCATCAGAAGCCCAGCACCACACTAAGAACATATGCTACATTCTAGCCCAGAGACGTTGTGGATGCCCCATCCCTGGAGGCATTCAAGGCCAGGCTGTATGGGGCCCTGGGCAGCCTGCTCTAGTGGTTGGCAACCCTGCCCACAGCAGGGGGGTTGAAACTAGATGATCTTTAAGGTCCTTTTCAACCCAGGCCATTCTATGATTCTACGTTATTAGGCCTGGATTTGATTAAAACTCCACGTTTTAACACTGCTACAAGATTTTATACTGGTAGAGGCATTCTTTGTCAGAACTTGCAAGTAATAAACCCCCTTAATAAGTCAGAGATAGATGCTTAAAATAACCCCATACCCATTTTTAAAAACAATTATTCATAGTACTAGGAAGATTAAAAGTGTACAAATTGTGTGGTTCGAGCCTGACTATTAAAGAAAAGACATTAATATCTGCTGTGCCAGCTGAATTCAAATTAACCCAATTTTTACATGTTAATTAAACCAGCTATTTTCTTCTTATTGTATTTTTGCTCCCTAAGTAGACTAGCCTGATAGTGATTCCCAACAGATCTATTCTAACAACAATGACGTATTCATTTACTTCTATTATGACCATACAATACAGTAACTGAGCAGTAATTTTTCACAGTCAATTACACACATGATTCTTAATGCTTAAAGATGCTGAAATAATGCATACTACATAGCCATATGCTCACTTCTCTATACTGCACAAGGGTAGTTGCCTGGGTAACACATTTTCTCTCCAGTTTAGCATCACCCTTTTGGGTTTAGCATAACCCTTCACTGAATATCATTAGGTGTCATTAAACAGCACATATTAACATGGACTTCAATATACTACTTAAGAGTTATTTTATCTACCTAACAAGTGCTCTTTTATGTTACAAAAGCAGAGAAAAGCCTAGTGATTTTAACCGTGCAAAGGGAGGAAGCTGAAATATTCACAAAATTTTACTTCAATCTTGAGGACATCCTACCCAACTGGTCAAAGTCTTCCTTCACCTTCACATGCTTACTAACAGTGCCAACATCACACAATTTATTCAGGAACGCTGAAATCTCAATATTTTGACAACACCCACCCACAAGAGTTACAGTCCAAACACAAAACATGGGTATGGTGCTGCAAGTCCGCTATTTACTACTCTCTCCTTTCTTCCATGCTTCTTTTGGTGCTCACATCACATAGATATGATGCATTCCCATCAGAGAAATTCTGCATGTAGCCATGCAAAGAAAAAAAAGCCATTACCCACTGTAATAACACATACAAATGCAATGATGAAGAGTTTTCTTCAGAAATCAATGCATATGTTTTTACTCTATCAGCAATTTAAACATGATAACATAATGGGACACAAATTGAAGCTACATCTAGTATTTCATGTTGCAACCGAGGTAAACTAAGTATAGTGTAAATTGGTGCATTAGAGGATAAATTTATATCCAATAATAATGTAAAATGTTGGCATTTCCAAGTGTTATTTTTGAAGTTTGTCCTTTCTAAAAATAAAGCATACAGTATTTCTCAGTAAAGTGTTAGTTACTGCAGTCCAAACAGAGATATGCAGTAAATACTTATTTTGTTAAGACATGTTTAAAAGTACAACAAAAGACTGAAAAACAATGTTACAGCAGGCAGGATGGCAAATGCCTGGCCTGTTGCTGATAAGCCTTGACAAAGCCGCTGTATTTTGGAGGAGTTTCTGATCCAGCTGAAGCCAAACAAAGCGTATTTTCAAGTAAAACTAGGAATGAGAAGTTTAAGGACATTTCATACAACCTACAGCCATGTAATATAACACTTCTAAAAAATCAGTGTTATTACTGACTCACCACTTTGAAAGGCTTCTGTGGCCATCAGCAAGAAAAGCATTTATTTTTCTTAAAGGAAACCTTAAAAAGATGCTTCAGCAAGAGGACAGAAGGAAAGCCTACCTCCAAATATCCTTATGGCCTGACTTAAGATGGGGACAAAACTTTCTTCCACGGCAACAGATATTCACTGAACTCCAGGCTCTGCCTTAAGAGGTCTTGTACCTTTGTAACACCACCAGCAGCTCCTGTAGATACCATTGAATCCTTAATTCCTGTCAATGCAGGAATTGTGCTAGAGCTACACAGCAGATTTTGTCCACAGCAACCACCATGAGATTGTATGCAAGAGCTACTGTTCTTTACACTTCACACTAAGGACTTCTTCAGTTCTGGGGTAAGCAACTGTCTTCCCATTTATTTGATCTGCTCATGAGTCCAAAGTTCTTGTACTGTCTGCCTTTCACCCATGTGACTTACCCATTTCGGTATTTCTCACTGATTACACTTGGTACCTATACCTGACTTCTCACCAAAATCAGAAGGAATTAAAAAACATTTTAGCTAGAAACAACCCTGGAGATTCTGGGCTCAGACTCCTTTGGTGAAGAGTGGTCATTCTCACCAGTCACGAAGAACAGATATTTCTTCAGAGAACAGGGATCTGAGACAGCAGACAAATGCTTCTAGAAATAACCTAGCAGTGTTTTCAGAACTGCATTACTTTAAGCCACTAACACTATAAAAAAATTAACTTGTCATTGCTTTTGCAAGCTACCTTCTATTTTATACTAGAAATAAAGACAAATTATTGAACAGACTCTCATGACCTTAACATGTGTAAGACCCTAAACACCGACCAGCCTATTAAAAATGAACACCAACAAAAGCGGCTTTGTACTTCACTTTAAAACTAGGAGCTCTGGACTGCCAAGTTGGAAAGAATTCAATAGGAGACCACTAGGTCCTATTGCTATCCCTAGGAGATTTCATTCCAGGAACCAAAAAGCAAGTGACCCTTCCTTCAGACCATCATTCTGCAATATACTTTATATACCACTAGAACAAGGTACAAATGCCTGGCCACATGGCAAAAATGCTACATTGCCAGGTTAGAGATGAATGCTAATCGATTTCTGAGTTTTCTCCATTCTTTCACATCTTATTATAGCAGCTAAACAAGAAGATATCCTGAATATCAGAAGAGGGTCTCCAAAGACATGTTAGGAACATGCAGTTGTCTCTCACTGCACAGTCTGGACACAGAAGCAGTCCTTACCCATGGCAGAAAGCAGCAATTAGATGCTCCAACACTACACTGTAAAACTCCTGTAAGATCACACCCAGTTATGAAATCCCAACTTGTCAACAAGTTCACATAGGTTACAGTTCTACATTTTGCTCCTCCTGACATCAGCTTCTGCTTGTGAGGGAGATCCAAGTCACAAGGTATGGATTGTACTCTCAATCTTCTTATTACAAAACAGATTTGGAGCTGTGCAATTTGGAAAAAGGTGTTTTTGCAGGCATCAAACCAAGGGAAGAAATGAGAGAAATGTTTAACATTTTCAGTCAAATGCTATCTGAAGCCATGACTTTCTTGCTGCCATCATGACAATGTCACTAATGTAACCTTTTACAGAATCCTTTCACCAGGGTAACAATCATCCCGTCAACTCATCTGCGAGGTTTAAGGTGCCCAGCTGCCAGATATATGAGGGTGGTTGAGCAGAAAAGAGAGAACAGAAACTATTGCAAAATTTCTCAATTATGCCTGCATCTGTTCCCTACAAAGGCTGCATTCTCTAGTCATGCTTTATTTATCTCACATTTTACTCTCTGCAACCACTGATATGAGTCATGCCTGAAGTTTTCTGGTTTCTAAAAATGCGAGAACTACAGACTTTAAGTCCATAGTTAATTATTCTGAAGTTTCTCTAAAGATACTTTAAAAACAGAGTTCAAAAAATGCATTCATATGGGTGAAGAGACAGCTCGGCCTGGGCAAGAACTAAAACCAAACGCTAGGATTTCACTAAAGAAGGGGGGAGGAAGATGAAGGGGTAGCTAATCTTGCTTACTGGCAAAGTCAGCCTTTCAAACGCAAACCATGTGCAATCAACTTCACTGCTGTCTTCCCAAGCCTGGAAAGTGATTCCCTAAATACCTTAGTTGCTCCTCCTCCTTCCCAAGGAGAAAACAGTGGCAAAAACCTTCCACAGTGCTATGGCAAAACAATGCAGGGACACTTTTTTCTGCCATCTCTTCCTACACCATCTGAACTTATTTTGGATTGCCATTTGAATGTGTTTGTGACAGAAACATAAAAGTTAACAGAGACACATGGACTCATGAAGGAAAGAAAAACAGGAGTCGGGGGGCCAGTCAACAAACATGAAAGGTTCAATAAATTCTATGATTCTGATTCTAAATTACAAATACATAGTAGACAGAAAACGGTTTGCTCAGCTAAGTGGTACAGCCCAAAATATTGTTGCTACTCTTTCCACTTAAAAGATGCTGTATTCCTCCTTTATGTATCTGCAGGCAAAAAAAGCAAAAAACAAAAACAAAACGCCACCATCCTTCAGGGATCTGACCGTTTTGGAAGAATGGTTTTGTATTTTTTAAGTGAACGACAGAAAAAGAAAAAGAAAACCACAAAAAAACACTTACCCATCTTTTGTCTGATCCACCACACCTGCAAGGAGCTGTACGGTGCTTGCATTAGGCAAACCATCTCCAGTTATCTTCAGGTACCGTGTGACAAAGTCATTAGGAGACATGAAGAATTCACCATTCTTCTCCACACTTGCATACTGTTAAATTAATACAATACTTAGTGCCTCAAATACATCCTTCCCCAGGCATTTATTACCACCACCCATAATTTTGAATCCAGAGCAGGCTTACATTACAGCAGAGGAGACAGTTCTGCTCTGAAGAGCCTAGAGCCTACACCCAAACAAGAGAGAGTAAGCGAGGAGTACTCGAACAGTTGAAGGCTTGGTTTCCCAGCCAGAAAAGTGGCAGATATATAATTTTTTTGTTTCTCATGTCAACAATTTCGCCATGGTAGTCTAGAAAGAGTTCCGGTACCAAATGTTTTTTCAAAGTAGAACACAAAGAATGTGCATTTGCAACCATGTATGTGGCATCTCAGGCCCACTGAAACTGTAACGGGATACTCCAGCATATTTTATTTATCTGGAGTTGCTCCTTTGTGTAGCCATCCCACCTCGCAACGGGAAGGCAGGTTTAAACCTGCGAAGGGACACTGCAGGGCCAGTGGAGTCGCACAGGAGTGTCCACGTGGGGGCGCTGTTTTGGAGGAACACCACCTCCGCCCCCCAGGGCTGCTTCCTAGTAAAGGGGAACCTGCAGGTCCTCCTCCTTGGTTGAACCGCTGAAAGGAGGCTAGAAAATAGCAGTTGCAGAAAAAAATGTAACAGAAGACGAGAACTTGGACAGTTCAGCACACTGCAGAAACGAGAAAAGGGGTCCAACACCTCACCAAACACCACTGGCATACGTTACTCCCGCTTTATACCATAGTTACTGGCATACTACTCCAGACAAGGGCTCTCGACAGACACAAGAGTGTTTGCTCCCAAGGAAAGCCTCTAGTAACATGTTACATGTCAAGGAGAAGGAATATTAAAATATTTTGAAGTTAATACATAAATAAAATTGCCTTCGGTACCACCCTTACCCTGATGCCTCAGTCATCCCTCACAGTTTAAAGCCATCATTTTCTGTAGAAGAGTAAACTTGAAATCAACCTTAAATACAGTGGTTTGTTTGTTTGTTTGTTTTTTTTTCAGGAAAAGAAAAAGGATAAGGACAATAATTAAGAGGAAAAAAAATCCCAGGCAACACTTAGAGAACCATGCATTAGCTTTAAGGGAAACATGTCTGTCTCAGGATAACAAACGTGCACTGAGAACAGGAAAGCAACTGTTAATTTATTTTTTTTTTAAGGTAAGGTAGGATGATAAACCACTGTTGCAGCTCCCCACAGAGCATTATCCACACTGAAGTAATAAATAAATGAGATGTCTATTGCTATTTTGTAGTGTACTTCAAAGACACATGTTTTGTTTTACATTGCTGTGGCCCTGCTAAGGGAGGAAACTGCCGGTTTTCATTTCATAGAGCCACACTGGTGCCTGCAGAGTACCGTCATACCTGCTGTACGCATATAACCCTCAGAGGGATGCCAAAGTGTAACAGTAAGTACATTATTTTCTTCCAGTGCTATCTAAACAGAGTCTTCAGGTACAGCCATGTCTTCAAGAAACAAGGCTTCAGAAAAGTAAGCCCAAACATAACTTGCTCTGCCATCTAGATACTGGTTAGCATTTAAGGATCCGTGTTTCAACAGACACTGTTCACAACACAAGCTTTCTAGCCGATACACTGCAAGGAATTTTCAATTGTGTACTTTCATAAGAACTAGCAGATCAATTGATTTCCAGTTATCATTTGCAGGGAGTCAGAATCTTTCAGAATCCCAGCCTCAAAAACTTTTAACACAGCTGCTATTGAGAAACAAATCAAATAAGTCAGACAGCCTATGCTTCTGTATTTCATTTTTTTTCTTCCAGGCTAACCCCCTGCTAGGGCACTCAATAACAGAAAACAGCACAAGGTTTCAGTGTCCTCCTGTTCCTTGTCACTGTGATTTACTCAAGTGTATTTGAAATCCAATCACGTACTCTACACTACATACAGAAAATGACCTCGGAAAATGTCAGCTTGATCACTTTGACTAAAATCTAATCTCCTAGGGGTTATGGTAGAAGACTTTTAGAAAAAGTACTGTTACTCTTGGAAATTATCATAACAAAAAGAGAAAAACATCAATTCTATTGGTTTTGGAGGAGAAGCATTTAAAAAAAAATGGTTCTTTACAACTGTATTTTCCCCCACTTTGGCAATTATACCCACAGAGAATCTGATATTATACAATAGTACTTAATGGCTTTTTGGTAACTTATTTCCATATATTTTAGATAGTCAAGTATTAACCAGTTCAACCCCATTTAAATAAGATTTGCAAACATTTTACTGGGGGTTTGATGTATTAAAAATCTAAAAGTTGACTGTAATCAACTGTATTTAAACTGATAGCTTCATATTTATTTCTACACAGTGGCTGCCATTCCTACCTGGGAATCATATTTTTAAATTCTTAATTGATGTAGAAAGAATGGCTGTCAAGTTATTTTACAAGTGAAGATCCCACAATCTGCAGAAGCAGCTGTATTGACCTCACTACTTAAAATTGTCTGAAGCAGCTTAATTAACACTCTGGCCATCACTTATCTGTAGAGCACAAAAAAACCATACCACATTCACTTATCCTCTTCCCTTCTCAGTAGTAAGAAGCACAACAATTTCTGTATTACACTGATCAAAATGTTCAGCTCATATTTCATTATTCTGCTTACTGAGACACCTTCTTTAAGTGGAAGGGGAAGAAGAAAAGTGTGAAAAAGGAGCAGGAGTTGGTATACAGTGTGCTCAACCATGACCCAGTCAATCCACCAAAACTGAAAGCTGAGGAAGCTACAACCTTCAGAAATGCAAGAGATCTGAATATCCACCCCACCGGCAGGTAGGAAACAACTTTCACACTATTCTCAGCAAACCAACCAATCCCCTCACCACAACTGAGTGCTGCCTCATCTTGCAGAAGGGACCAGGTTTCTCTCTACCATGTTTATTCCCTTCCTCAGTGCTACCATCTTGGGTCAGTGGTCTGCTCCCTGTCTGCCTTTTCTGCTGCCTTGCTCCTGCTCTTCAAGTATCTGCCTCTGAAAATCCCATTATCCCATTCTTTTTCAATAACCTTTTTGCTCTCCTAACAGATACAAGTTCCAGGACCTAATAAGTTAAATCCTGGCTTTCTCAACTGAAAATCTGATTGCAGAGCTATAAATACTGACAGTATATGATAAAACTATAAATACTGGCAATATACATAGTGACACCTACACATACTGTTAATAATAGCTCACAAGGGACAACGGAAAACATGCCAAGAAGTGCACGGAGAGTGGGGCATGATGATGGAGAGAGGGAAGGTGGAGGGAGGAACTTGGAAAGGTATGAAGTCTCTTAGGCACTCAACACCATCATAAAAATAATTCAGATACAACAGCTCCCTGTAGCACTGAGGACCTACCTCACATATATTCTCCAGATCCACCAATTTCTGTACTCTTTTTCATACCAGACTACCAAACTAATACAAACATTGTACTAATAAATCTTAGGAAGGTTAGGAATATTTATTCAAATTTAGGAAATGGGTCAAAGAAAGACATAGTCCCGCAAAACACTAAAGCACACTTCTCTCAAGTATACAAGCAAATACACAAGTCATTTCTTTATTTGCATACTTCTATAGCAGGCCAACACAGAAGGTATTTTGGTTAAATAATAAATAGGGCCACCACTTCACAAAGTCATCTTCCCAACACTTCCACAAATTAGAGAAGCAGAGTTAACCCTGAAGGAAGGAAGGAAGCAAGGATGGGAGAAGAAAGTTTACCAAATGGTCTAACAGCAAGGTGTCTACACGAACATTTTACCCTGTGTAGGAACAATATTGAAACTCCCACCACATTCTCCGAACAATGTGGTTTTTTTCTAAGATAGTAATACTTCTTCTGAGTCAATACAATAATCACTCAGGAATGCATCTGACTTCTTGGTGAGCATTGTTCAATTCTGATAATGGTATTTAAGTCTAACATGGTAATAATACAGTGAATGATTAATGGTTGGAAAAACTATCAAGAGTTGTATGCTGCAATAAAGGAGCAAAAGATAGGAAAAATTTAAGCAGAAAGAGTAAAATATTTACTTTACACATACCTTCAAAAATATTGTTTTCAACTCAGCTGGATCAGCTCTCTTGGTTAGAGCCACCTACAAGTAAATACAATTACATTAATAGGCATAATTTATACAGGAGATGTCGAAGTGTCATTTAAAAGGAAGAATTCAAACAAACGAGGGATGAAAATAAAGGTTCACCTTAGACAAATTAGGTACTGTTTTAGCTGACCATGCTTATTTTACCCATTTCACGTTTACACTAAGTTCTTCAACATTTCTATTGTAACTGCTTCCCTTATGCAACCCTGCAATTCTTAAACAAGCACACATTAATAAGTCATAAAGACATTTAAGTATCAAATCTTTTCAACACATCTCTCTGCTGAGATTTGGCACTATACCATCTTTAACACATAGATTTTTATACTTCCAGCATCTTTCATCTAAGGATTTCAGAGTACCATAAACAGCCCCCAACTGACAGATGGCAAGAAGAAAATACTCAGACTTACAAACTTGTCCAAGAAAGCAACTCCCTAAAAGACTGAATTCCAATTTAATTATTTGGTTTATTGGTACTTCTACTTCCTACTTCCAAACGTTTAGACTGTTTAACTTACAGTGTAGACCTTTTTGATGAGGTAAATTCAGAAAGCACATTACCTAGATTTTTCTGCAGATCAGACAGCTAGCCAGTTTCAATTGAAACCTAAGTTACATTTACCACCACAAACCTGAAGTAATTAGAATTTCGTTCCCCAAAACACTGAATTAAGAAATATTCTATATCCACTATAGAATAAGCCCATCAGTGTTTTCCTTGTTGACGTACCGTCCCATCCCTTTCCTGCTTTTGGCACTAAGTGGCTTCATCTCCTCAGTCTGTGCCTGCTACGGAGTTTCCCTTTCTTTCTTCAGGATATTTTGATAAAATCCTGCTTGCCAACATAATAACCATCATCTGATAAGTCAATTCAACACATCAATCTACTCCTAATTTAAAAAAATTACTTAGCAAACTAACCTGAATTTTCAAAAAATTTGTGAAAACATCTCTGTAATGGGGAATAAACAGCCAAAGGGCAAGATGTAAAATCTTCCCCTCACCTAAGAATTCAACATCAGAAACATTATCAATAAAACACGGCCACCTACTTTCTTGACTCTCCAGAGCAATGGTAGGCAGTAAAGGCGAATGTGACTGCAAATGCATTTCCAGTAGCACACTAGACTACTAGACTACTGCAGAAAATGGTAAAGAGTCTGTGTAAATCTGTACAACAGCATTATATCCTCACATGTACATTTAATGAAGAATCTTTAGTAAGTCTTTCCTCACCCTAAATGGGTCACTTAAAAACTAAAAAAAAAAAAAAACACAAAAAAACAAAACAAAACAAAAAAAAACCCTCCACAGAAAACCTCAAAGTATTTGAAGAAAAGTACACAAATGAGGTTTCTTATAAAATGTTAGAAGTTTTTTTAAAAGGGACAAACCACACCTGAAGTTCTGCTAGGACTCAACTGACAGAGTCCACAGCTGAAGTCACAATTCTGTGTTTGAACAGAAACCTGTGTGGAGGCAGGTGCAAAAAGTCAAAGTGTGAAGCTGGGAACCTAAAACTGTGTATTTTCTAAAGTACAAGCTGTCCTAAATGTAATCACTGTGTAGTAAGCAGAGATTTACTTTAACCCCATTTGTAAAAATCTGGTACTCTAGAGCAATTGGGAACTTTGCAGTGTAGAACCTTACCACTATACAGGCAAACAAAAGACACTTGAAACATCTGCATCCATTTAAAATATAATCTGTATCACACTTAATCTGTTTTAAAGCTTAAATTTTATACTGTCCTAGAAGTCTAAGCCTGAAGAAACCAGGGATGAAAAGAACAAAGGAAAAGGGTACAGTGCCTGAACTCACACTCTCTTTCCTTTGGTTTCATTGACATTAACCATCTTGGGAAACTTGGGAGACAAAATGTGCTCATAGCCCAGCTGCAACTTTTCAGCTCCCTTTTGATTATTGGGGGATTTGGGGTTTTTTTTACAGCAAGTTGCTTTTAAAGCGTATACTGAAAGACAGGCTGAGGCTGACCAGGCCAACTGAACGCACAGCAGCACTGCAGACCAGCAGCTGAAGCAGTGCCTGCAGACCACGGCTTCCCTCTCCTTCCTGCAGATTACTTCCACACTCTTCCATTTCCCGGGAAACAGGAGAGAAAAGGGATGGTTAGCATTACGTAAAGGATTTGTTTGCATGTCACCCACCAATCTCCATTTTGAAAGGTCTATTTGATCCCAAAAAAGGAAAAGAGCCTCTATCACATTATGTTACAGCTTCAGGAGGACCGATGCTGATGCAGCCATAGCAGTGCTAAGAGGAGAAGTGCTTAATTCAGCCTTTCATCCATCCCCAGCTGTGGGCAAAGCTGAAGCTGCACACACAGACACAAGAACTGATCCTGATGACAGGTGTTACTAGCAGATTCCCCTCCTGGAAAAGGTCAAAATATCACTTTCAATATCATACAACAAAATTGTTTCCAGTTATGTTAGCAGTTGAAGATGGGCTAAGTAACCTGATGCCAAGACTGCAAGCCAACAGGTAGCATGCCTGATGAAAAGTGACCCACAGACACAAGCTGATTCTCCTTCAGCCAACTTCGGTGATATTTACTGACTTTCATACAACTGGGCTTACTTGATGTGTTTCGTTACCGGAAAGACTTCTCCATTTCACTTTATCTTCTCTCCATAAAGACAAAAACGATGCTGAGATAAAACCATCTATGAGCTGGTAGGCATGACATCTCTCTAACTGTGTGAGGAGGCATTTGATAAAGCAGATCTGAGGGAAATAATGTCTGTTATTGCTCTTTACAAAGAGATGCTTTGTAACAGACACTAGCACTTTAAAGAAAAACCCACTAACCTTTATTAAGTAAGGTTCAGTGAAGAAAGTTCTCCATCAAACAATATTTATTTTTAAAAAAAACAGGAGACAACACAGAGTACAGAAACTGAAGTGCAGGATTACAACAAAGTCAGGACATACTATAGAAAAGACTGGGATAACACAGAAAATGTCAGCAGGGATTTTCATTCCTAAAGTAGATACCTGAAAGTTTTAGGCAACATAACTATGTGTATACATGCATTATACTGTATATGAACAACCAGCCAGCACCATACATCTCAGGCAATATAAGAGCTGAAATTAAAAATGCCAAATCCCTCCCATTAGCAGTTACATTCAGCAAAGGGAGACACAGCATGCACAGAGAACGGGAAAGCTCTGTGAGGGACAGAAACACACAGGTTGATTTGCACGCTGGAGTTATCCATAGACTTCCTTGCTCCTTGATCTTAATTTCAGCCCATTTTCTCCAGCAGAGCTCTTTTCTCCTTGTTGACTGATGCTCGATTTACACCGACATGCATTTTCAGTCTCACTTCCACCCTCAACAACAAATGCAAACAGACTCTTCCCAGAAAAATGTAACTGTACAGCAATGCAAGAAAACAAAATCCACTGGGAATCAAAGAAAACTATATTACATTTCTAATCAACCTTATTAACATATTTTTCATACACAAGGCAGAAAGAACAAATTGTCAGCTGGTATGTGATATTGAAAGATACAAAAGGACTAATAAAAGTAGTGAGTGTGCTACACCCAGTAAAGAACAACAACAACATGGCTGGGCAAGAAGAAAAAGAGCAGCAGGAAAATCAGAATTAATACCAATATAGCATTAACCTAACAGCAAACATAAAATGTCTGACTTTCTCATCTTTATTGTAAAGATCACTTTAGCAGCCACCATTTGGATAGAGCAGAAAGGTGACGGGGATCCAGGAACACTTGAGCATTGCTCCAGTATTCCAGAACATTTACTGGGACAACAGCAAGTCCTAACCAAAGATAAAGAGATAAACATCTCTAATACTCTATACTCACAGTTTAACCTGAATACAGCTTAATGTGAAAGAGAAAGTTGACAGAGGTAAAGATGTCCTGCTCTACCTCATTATCTTTAAAAGCTCCTGACACGGAGCAGGTGAAACACTGGAGAGCAACCTTCTCCAAGCAGAGAACTGGAGCTGTGGCAGGGCCACCTTGCTGCTGCACACTGGTAAGCTCACTCTGTTTAATTCTAGAGAACACCATCTACAGGCACGTAGACAGAGAAGATGTTTGATGAAAGGCCTAACGTCATCATAAACTCTACTAGCTTCATGTTGAAACTAAGATTTTTTTTTAAGCCCTTTCATTCTTAAACATGACTAAAGAATGCAAGGTATTTGCACCACTAAAAGACCTCAAATCAAGACTGAAACCTCATGTCTTCTAGAGGTATTCTTCAGTCTCATCACAAGTTATTGAGTCCACCTGTAAGACTCAAACACATGTGGCCCAGTTTATGTAAGAGGTCAGATTAGATCTTCATTATGTTTCCTTCTGGCTAAAACTATACATATACACTCAAAATGTGCAACTCCAAAGGAGATCAAGCCAGGTATGACTTTACATTCCTGTTTAAATGAGTGACTGCAATATCAGAAACCAGTTCAAGTCTAGTTACTGGCCAAGCTTGAATTCAGACATGAAATTTATTAATGCTGTATAAGTATTATGCTAAAAGAACACTCCCATTCCTATTTTAATACAACTAACTTGATAACATTTAGGATAACCTTCTTCTTCCATATTTACACTAATACTACCACATACGCAATCGTCCTTCTAACCCAGCAACCTGCCTTGGTCACTCCCCCTCATCACAAACAGCATCACAGATTACAAGTGTTTTGCATCAACATCTGTCCAGGGCACTGTCTCCTGTTTCAGCTGCCCCAATAACCATTTTTTTGTTAGCCCAACATGCTTCAGCATATTCTCACCTCAGCAAAAGCACAGTCATTCTTTTTGCACAACAGAATCCAAGTAAAAGAACTCGACTGCGATCTGAAATGGAAAGCAATGTTCACAGAACTCAGCATCACAGGGAAGTTTGCAAGCAAGATGTGGACCAGACAACTGCAAGGAGAGCTGGCACAGAACGCAGATCAAAAAGACCTTCTCACCAGACCTCCTAATGGTAAGCTGAGTATTTCTGCTAATAAAATATATTCAGATGGCATTTGGCTTACCTACCCAAAGGCTTAGGGCAAGAAGCATTGTAAGAGAAACTGGTAACTACTAAGCAGGTACTTCTATTACATTCAGTCTGATCATCCAGAACACAAGTCAGCCTTGAGACAAACACATTTATTTTCTAAAAACAGTTCTCATCCTCAGAGTCAAACATTACAACTACATTTTGCAGAAGTGTAACCCTACACTAACTAGATTACTGGATTCTCTTGTCCAATAACATCTAGCTAAGCTAAGAAAAAAAATGTCATTAACATTAATCAACAAAGTCTTCTCAGATCCTACTGGCTGATTCAGTATGCAGAGCTACAGAATAAACACTACTGAAACTAGACAGTTGTGCTGAGCCTACCCCACACAATGGAACAGAGCACAACAAAATTTGCTAGCTGCTGGAGACAGCAAATCTAAAGCAAAACTATTTGCATCCAACTTCACTCTGTCACAATTATAAATCCCCAGGCAATTCCCAGTCCAGCTTCTGCACCATAAGTGGAAGCCTCACTTTCCCCAAGTGCATCAAAGCTAACAGACCTACTTTACTTGGCAATTACCTGCTAGCTTTGATCCTCCTTTCAAAGTCCCAAAGCAAATGCAGCTGGCTTGTTCATAAGATGGTTCTCACATAAGGAGATTCCTAATAAACCACAGCATTTTTGCACGCAAAATTATTAGGGACCAACACACAGTTATCAGTTACATCCACAGGAAAATGCTTGTCCAGATTGTTCAATGCTTCCAAGGAGGTACAGAAACAAAGGTAGAAGTAGTATATATCTTAAGGGAAAATGCTACACGAATTACAAGAATAGTTGACTATGGCTATGTAAAAAGACATTTAGACTGTGTACTTCTACAGTTTTCCTACTTAAAGACCTGCAAAACTGAAGGACCATAAAACTAGCCCAATACTAAGGTAAAAATAGCTAGGCATTGCTCAGCAAAATTGTTTAACGAAAGGAAAAAGCACCATACTGTGACCAATACCATCCACTCCAAGCTGTAAGCATGTGTCAGAAGATGCAGTTAGGAATGAGTTGGACAATTAGTTTGTAGTCAGCCTCTGGACTAGGACAAGGATGTAACTGCTGTTCATTCCTACAGCAAAACATGATGCATTACACTACAGTGAGAAACTGAACCTGAAAACCAACTCTTTGTGAAAAACAAGTTTCTTTTTTACTTTTCTTGTTGCTATCAGAAAAAGCTCAGCTCTCCAATCACTTTCTCCACCTGTCTATCATAAAGAGCTACAGTACTCTGACTGCATGAGTCCATCTTCTTCCTCAAAGTAATATTCCCTGTTGTCTCCTAGCTCCTCCACATGTTTTTACTGCGATCATCTTCAGGACCGTGATCCAAAGATACACAAGCAAGCTACTTTGCTATGGCCATTATATAAAATTAACAAATCCCAATGTATCTCAGCAAACTAGAGCTCACCTCTCACTTAAGAAATGTAATAATTATACATAAGACAGATTAGGGGTTCTTAATAAAAAAAGGTTATCTCCAAATGAGCTACTAATGAGAATGGTCAAATGACATTTCCATCAACTCAGGGGTATTTTTCAAAAATACTCCCCTCCTGCTCCCCGTAGATGGGTGGGATGATAGATGCTACCACTCTTACTTTGCTCTCTCTTTTGCTTCCTTACACCTCTCAGAAATTGAGGTATATCTAAGCATTATGAATGTCAACCTGCTAAAACATATTTGATGGCTAACCTCAGCCCAGTTTAGAGACTTTCTCTTTTGATTCTCCCAGGGCTCGTTCTGTTACAACAGTGCTACTGTACTACAGCACTGACCATCAACTGCCTCGCATTCATCTTCCAAAAGCAGTCATCCCACAGCTAGCAATTCATCTCCTGGAGCTAAACTTCAGGCTTACATCTGGCAGGAAAATAGTAATCTCACCCAAAAAAAGCAAAGGATTGGAGAATTCTCCAGGTAACAGCAAGATCAAAAGTAGTTCCTCGAGGAAGCAGACGATTAGATACCTGTTATCATTCAAAAATTGTCAGGGAGAAGTCTCAGGCTACTAGGGCAGCATGAATTTTATTTGACACCCAATGTTACCAGGATAAAGTATGTACTTGGATCAGGATTAAGCAATGCGTAAGGCACAATTAAGACAGAAGACCATTTAACACCATGGTTCTCACAAGGTGGCACCTTTAGGAAGCATCATCTCACAGCTATGCAGAGCACCCCTGAGCTCTGGGAGAGCCATTGCTGAATGAAACATACAAACTACTAATGAGTCTCTCCAAGGTTCCTGTGCTCATGGTGCTCAAGGTTCCCAACAGCTCACAGCTCAACAGAGACAACCACTCCTGGTTTCACCTGGCTCCTAGCTCTAGTCCCCAACAGCCAAATGCTCACTCTGCTCTGGCATGGCACAAAGTACCTTAATGATCAGGTGTTCCTACCAAGAGGGGTCACAGTCAAAAGATTCAAAACAATAGATACGATGTTGCACCACAAGGAACTTCTTGAGAGTCCTGCACTGCGCCTGATACCATACACCATACACAGAGCAACCTAAAAAGAAGTGTCCCATGCTTTATCTGATACCTTCATAAATTACAGCACCAAGACAGCAAACAATAAACAATCTGAACAGTGGTACAAAAGGTTTCGCTGTGATTTTCTCTCATGGATGTCAATGCAATGGCAGCTATACTGTGACACAAGGTCCCAGTGAGTGAGCAGGATCATCTGCAGCAATAAACAAAAAGCTATTGGCCTTTGAAAAAAGCAAACCTGGAGCAGTGCCACACAGGGGCATCATAACAGAATGATCTGCTCTCAGATCACTAATTCTGTGATAAGGTAAAAAAAATATTAAACGGATGTGCAATCAGTGCTTATAAACTTGTGGAAAAGTCTGTCTCAAGTTGCTGCTACAGTAACTTGTTATTTGTGACTTCACACTTGTGAATGTGCAAGTAAAAAAAAGTGCTGGAGAAAAGTTCCTATACATTACATGTCTTGATTAATAATTGTGTGACAGGAATTATGTAGGAATAACTGACAGTTAAATGTATTTTGTTTTGGTGTTGTACTTTCTTCTTTGAACACAGAAGTTCACTTTTCAAGATCCTATTTATAATCAAATCCATCTATTCAACTCTATTCAAAATGCTACACCTCAGCAGCTCAGAGAACTGGGAAGGGTGTGGGAGTGGGGATGAATCCCTATGTGTGCATGGATTCAATTCTACAACCTTAAAAAGAACAAAAGACAACTGCACAATGGAAACAGCAACACACACACAAAGCAAACTTACTAAAGGCTATAAATGATGAGATCCAAACAAAATCTTAAGTCCTGCAGTCAGCAAGCCTTCCTCATAGCAGCAGCATTCCAACACATAGTTGAGCAAATAACAACACTGTGCTACTTGAAACCATAAGAAAAAAACCCCGCAAGTTCTTTTTCTGTTTTTTTTTGTTTGGCTTTTTTTTTTTTTTTTTTTTAATCTGTACAGCACTCCGCACAGTGGACTATTGGGTCATGGTGAGCGTGCCCATGCTCTGTGACAGCTGGAAGAGTCACACTAACTATCCACCTTTCCCAGATAAACATGTTAGTCAACCTCTGACTATGGAAAACATGGATTTTCAAGTAACAAAATATATCTCTCTCCCTTATAGATTTTT